CCGTATTTCTGCCGCATGCATCGCTGGTGAGCAAGAAGCTCTCATGGAGCCATCCGAGCTGGGTAGTGGTACCAGCGAGAAAGGCTGCTGCTCCGCTCGGTTTGTAAGCGCTTGAGCTAGAGCGTCCGCCCTCTCGTTACCCTCTAGGCCTGCATGTCCCGGGCACCAGACCCACCTATAAGTGTTGCTCAATTCGCCGCCTAAAGGTTTGCAAATGTTTAATGGGAGGCAGCCTTTCATGAATAGCCGGCACGCCTCTTGCGAATCTGAGAGTATGGTGATGTACGTCTGGCCGTCATTACGCTCTCGACTTTTAATCGTCAATGCGATGGCGAAACATTTAGCCTTGGTGATCGATGTAGTGTACAGTGATGCGCTGGACATCGTGCTTCTCGTGTCGCTGCTTATCAATGTGACGACTCAGCACTTCCCTGGAAGCGTCAACGTATAGCACGTTCTCATTGCTTCTGACTAATTTTCTGATCCATTTTACGTGCTCCTCTCCCCTTTCGTGATGCCGCTCCTTGGTCATGTTCCTGGAGATAGGGGCAATCGAGATATGCCATCGGACTGGGTCTGGTACGTCTACCAGCTTCTCGTCCAAGATGAGAGGTTGCGGTGGTATACCCGCCCTCATGAATATCTCTCTACCCGACTTTGTCTGGCTGAGGCAGTTGCGCTGAAAGATCAATATTGCTGCTTTCAGTTCAGCGTACGTGTTGTGCAGGCCGATATCAAGAAACCTGTGTGTCGCAGTGCTTATCGGTAAGCCCAATGCTGCCTCGTAAGCCCCTCTGATGATAAAATCTACTTGCTCTTCCTCGCTCTTGTTCAGCATGTGGAAAGGCAAGCTGTATGTCAATTTGCTCATTACGAGCGCCTGCACTAAATGCACAGTATCACTTTCCTTCATGCCCTTTTTATGGGAGGTGATCCTCTGAATCATCCTAGCCACTTGTTTGGTTGCCGATTTAAGAATACTGATACAGTCAACTGCCGAGTTTTCCAACCCTCTAGGGAGCGAAAAACTGTCCGAAAATTCGGGCAGTCCGAAAAAATGAATGCAAGCAAAAAAATGCATTATTTTACTGATAATTTTCAATTCAAGCAAAAAAAAAATGCACCATTTTGCTAATATTTCTCAATGCAAGCAAAAAACACACCATTTCATTGATATTTCTCGGATCAAGAGGGTCGAGTCGTAGTACGAGACTTCCGGAACTCTGCCAAATCATCAGTGGGGTGGCTCTGAAACAAGCCGTTAAAAAAAAAATGCATGCACCCGACAGCGGGTGCCGTCAGGGCAGCCGGTGTTAGAGCTGCAGTGGCTTGAAAAACTTGTTGAGTCTTGTTTTCACAGCGTTCCGCTTGCATGTGATCCCATTCGCCTCGATCTGAGCAAGGGTCATGTCATCACTGTACACTGATGACAGCGTCATCGATGCTCGCATCAATTCGGCGGTCGTAGGTGGGGCAGGCGTTGGTTCCTCTTTTTCGGCATCGTAGTCATCTGAATCCGCCATAACCTGACTGACTATTTCGACGTCAGTTAGCTCTGCGCAGAAGTCGGGCTCGTTGTCAGCGTCGACGAATGTCAGCCTGCGATCGGCCACTCTTCACTAACTTAATAATGACGGCTTTTTTCTTCATCGTTAACCGATGGTACTGTTTTCCGCGCTTCGATGTCATCGGCGAGGACGACGAAGGCGAAGTGGGGGCGATATCAGGCAAGCGAAATCTTCACGATGTGAACAAAGGAGGTTGCTGACGAGCGTCGAAGCACCTAGGCTTAGCGTTGCAGAGCACACTTCACACGATCGCACAACCACGCACTAGGCTAGCCAAACACCATGTGGGCTGCGTAAACGAAAAGGCGAGACTGTAGGCGAAGGTGCCTCGGGTACTCCGAATAAGGCGCTGGTAAACATTCAAGATAGCCAGCGTGGCCAGACCAAATCGGTGTGTGATGGTTAGTCCTAGTTCGAAGTGGTGAAACGCTTCACGAAAGCGCTGTGCGGGAAATCAGACTGGCACGCACCAGCACAAGCAATAAAGCAAAAGAAACTTTATTGGCGCCAAAAAATTTCCGGGTGATAGTTTCGATTGTCAGCAAAGCACCCTTGCATGATAAACACGGCCAGTGTTAGGAATCTTGGAGGCCGTGTATGTTTCTCCACTAACGATCAACGAGTCCAAGCAACAGATGCCGCCACCGTAGACCGGCGCGCTCATTTATGCGATCGTAATTGCGTGAGAGGCAGTTGTGGCGGTTTCCACCGGAGGTCAGTGGTGGTTTCCGACCTTTTGTCGCGTCAGAAAGTCCGGAAAATCGGACTCCGGGGGGTTCGAGAGTCCTAAATTTCAGACTTTCTTATACACTGATTCTATGCAGCTTGTAACGGTGCCGCGAAGATGTCCGAATTTTCAGGCATGTCCGAAAATTCGGGTGTCCGAAAAATCAGCAGTTGACTATCGTGTGACTTGCCCTACAATTGCTTTGAACCCAGAAACCCAGGATCCTGGCGACGGTGACTTCTTTATTTTCTGCTTTTAGATATCGATTTCTATTCTTCCGTTACTTTTGTAGCATTTGCTGTGTATTCTGATCACTTCCGATTTTTCAGGTGCGCAGCTAAGACCACTGGTTCTGGCAAAGTTTTCTACGGCCAGTGCTACCTCTTGCAGAGATTCTGCGTGGTTTTCAGTGTAGATATTTTAGAATCAGACAGAAAAATGGTTCCAGAAACTTTGCTGGCCAGGGACCCCCGGGGGGCCCACAGAGTAATGTTGTCCACGTAGAGGGTATAACCTAGCTATGGTATACGGTCCAAGGCACGAGCGAGTCGACGCATGGCGATATTAAACAACGGAAGAGATATGATGTTCCCTTTGAGGCGTTCCCTTGTTTGGCATTTGTAATGGATCACACCTAATGCTTGAGATACCAATTGTCGCCTCCAGCTCGGTGAGAAAATCCTTTATAAAGTTATATGTTCTTTCCTCACAACCAATTATATTTAGCTCTGAGAGTATAGCTTCATGAGAGATATTGTCAAAAGCTCCCTTAGGGTCTAGAGCAAGGAACAAATGCTCTCCACCCTTGGGAACGCCCTTGAGGACTTCTTCAAGTATCATGAGGAAAGCCTCCTGTGTCGAGAAGCCACCGCGGAAGCCCAGAATGGTGGCCAGAAACAGCACCCTGTCCTCTATGAAATCCTGAAGTCTGGTGTGAACGACCTGTTCGAAAAGCTTTTCCAGACATAACGTAAGTGATATAGGTCTGAGCGCCTGCAGCGAGGGCGTTTTTTGGGTTTTGGAATGGTTATAATTTTGGCGGTTTTCCATTCTGCAGGGACCTTCCCTTTGAGCCAATAGTGCTCATTTTTGTCAGGCCTTCAGTGGCTTTGTCGCTAAGATTCCTTATCATTGCATTCGTAATTTGGTCTTCACCGGGGGTCGTGTTTCTCTTGGCTGCCTGAGCTGCCTCAAAGAACTCTTCTATTGTTATCGGCTTGTCTACCTAGGAGAGTGACACAAATTTTTCGAAGCACTTCTGCGTGGTTTTCAGTGTAGATATTTTAGAATCAGACAGAAAAATGGTTCCAGAAACTGAAATGATTTTTTTTTGCCATTTTTCGCAATACCAAAGCCGTATGCCCTTTAACGATGTTCACCATTAAACTGCCTTATTTCTCTCAAGGCTACTGTACAGGAACAAAAAGCCAGCGCGCTATCAATTTAACGTGAAACTAAATCTTCTGATCCCAGTAAGGTTAACTCTGTTATGCATTAAATGTAATTTACTAAATAAGGCTTTGCTAAAGGGAAACACTACGTCACTTTAAGCTGCTAAAGCATCCATTGAGAGCTAGTTTTATTAAGCTGATTTGTTTACTATGAAAATATTTTAAGCTCGAAGTTTCACTTTCCCAATTTTACCTTGAAACCCTTGCACTGTTACATCTATTTGACATCATGAACTTCAGTGTGTTTTAAAAGTGAATGCATTTCTTAGTCGGGCTATGTCAGACATCTGGCGTTGTCTGTCCGCGTGCCAACAGGTGTTATCTTTCCGCTCTCACACCCTCTCCCAATAGCAACAGCTAGGGGCGCGCACTTATTCTCGCCCCTAGCAACCGGAGCATGTGGTGCGAGAGTGTAGGAGAGGCAGGTACAGTGCTTTGTCACTCCTTTCACAGTTGGCTCTCTCTCCTCTCTGCACCCCACTTTCCCGTCCGCTCGTGCCCCACTCTCGACCGTTCACTGGCTGGGCACCTCTCAAGAACATCCGAAAATGTGCGCTCGAGACGCCACTGTGAAACGCCAACGCCGAGCCGAGAATGCTATTTGTTTTGTTCACTTCATAGTATTTTTTTAAGCGTGCACACTAGCTACTAGAGCTGGAAACACATACCGCATTTCTCACGACAGAAAAACACCACGTACTGCGAACGAGGCTATTAGTTGCATGGTCTAAAAAAAAAAAAAGAGTATTCTTCGAACGCTGGGTTCTCACGTGGGAAACAGCGTTATGGACTCTGCGCAATGCATTCGAATGGCATTTTCTGATGATTCCCTTTGGGGAATTGGGGGAACTTTTTGTATATTTTTTGTTGAAATGGCTTGGTTAAAGTTACCCAAATTTGATTTCTTATATCTGACTCCTTCAGAATACAATGCAGCCCATTGTTACCAGAAAAAAATAATTGACCAGGTTTCAACAGATTCTTCGAAAAATTTTCTGTGTGCATTTCTGTGTGCATTTTTGCACACAGAAATGCACACAGAAAAGTCACAGAAAATGCACACAGAAAAATCACAGTCAGCTCATGTGGAAACATCAAGGTGGCATCACTGCCCACTCTTCCTTTGTTCACCTTTTCTGGCTCGTTACGACTATCGTTATGGCAAGCATAGTGTTAATCCTATTGTACAAGGTAAATTTACTAATACTACAGGAAAAAACACTTCTTTAGCGTCTTTTTAGCCGCATGCCTTACCAGCTCCTGCATAGCTCTTCTGATCATGGTAGGTGCCAGACTCCATCCTTTCCGCATCTCGATACTTCCTGTGCTTCCCAGTGCTGTAACCCCTTCGAGAGTCTGGTGATGAGCTGTCGGACTCACTATGCCTGGATGACGGTCGGTTGTGGCTGTCTCGATGCCTTCGATTGCCCCGCCGGTCAAAATCATCGAGGTAAGCATCCTGAGAGGTACGGCTCGATGGTCGACCACGGTCACTGTATCGGTCGCTCTGACGATCATCATAGCGGTAGTCATGCCTGCATGAATATTTCAATCTTTTTGAGCCTCACTCCAGCATTTCAGGAGTGTCTACAGTGGCTAAGCAATCCCGAGAGCTTGATTTTTTAACAAGAGAAAGCACCTTTAATTTGCAGTTCTAGGTGAAAAAAGTGCATGTATTGCTTCCCAATTGCCGCCTATTCGGCGAACCCTATGAACAGTTCAACCTACACCCACAAAGTAGCAGTTGTACACTAGGTCACTCTTGAAATAGTTATACATCGACATAATGAAGTCATAGAAACAATTTACTTTATCATATCGAAATTTGGCCTTTTATATAAAACATGAACTTATAATAAAATTGACGATGACCTTCAGGTCTGACAACCCAGGCTTGTTGCCATGCTGGCAAAGCCCTCTCCACAGTTGCCATAGGGCATTAGTAAAGCAGAAATAATGCAGGTTCAATGCAATGCAGTGATCACAGAACTTATCACACCCATTCTGCCACTATGCACACTATGAACATGCACTATGAACACTATGGGTCTTGCCTACCCACTAAGAATACTTTGAGGTATTGACATAAATGCGATGATCATTGAACGAAACCACATTATCTTGACAAAGTCCAACAAACATGCAATAACCAAAACTGCCACAAACCAAAACCACAAAACTTTCAGTTTAAGATAACATGGAAACGAGGTGGCAACCTGAATTATAGCACTTTTCAAAAGACAAAATTTTAAAATTATATCAACATCTAGCAATACCCAATTTTATCGGTTCACAAATATGCTGCTAATGAAATGCTATACACTAACACCTCAATACAGCTGAACCCCTTTATAGGAGGCATGCTACAGGCAGAAATTCTTGTCTTTTATGTGAGATGTCTCTTATAAGCAGGGTACCTGGCATGTATTTTCTTATCAACCTGTATTTTACTATAAGCACACTGGTGTCTTTTATACCCATTTGTCCCTCATATCAGTGTCTCTCATAAAGGGGTTCGATTGTATAACAAACACAGATATAAGGAAATATCGGTTGTAACAAAGTAAATGAAAAATAGTCTTGCAATAGATAGTGTTAAGAGTAACTTTTATAATGAATTTTTGGATATAAGAACTTACTTTCTTATAAGATGCAACTTTGCTATATTAAGGTTTGAATGTATGTCTGTTACAGAACAATGCAACGAATGATGTCCACAGTGCTACTGCACAACATGTATGACCATGAAGGCCTGTACATGAAGTACAATGAATTGGCCCAACAATGTTGCCTTGATTAAATGTAAGCTGGAGACTCATGCATACTACCTAACGTACAGGTATATATGTACACAGCTTTTTTTCGTCTTCTGGGTTCTAAGCAAATATGAATTTTCGAAGACTTCCCTTCAAGTAAAACAACTGCAAAACCATTCCACCACTGTAAGTCTTTTTTGGATTGGTTCTCATCAGGCTTTCAAGCAAACCAATTTTTCAGAAAATTTCATTACAGTTCACAGCAGCACAGTCTCAGCAGTTTCACCAAAAGCAAGGTGGACAGTTTGCAAAGCAGTACCTATACAAAATAACCTCACTACAACAGACTTCCACAGTGAAGAGGATTTTGGTGTGCTGTAAAAGGAGTATATAAAATCCAAGTACTGTTACAACAGACTGACATAAACCCTCAATGAGTCTGTTATAACCAGAGATAATTACTAATCATAAACAGAATTACTCTCAACAAGGGCACAAAAGATTGATTTTTTTAAAATCACCCTTAGTTTCTGTGCCCCCCCCCCCCCCTCTTTTAGTGCGATTCCAAAATATTGTCACTAAAAATATACGCAGTAGTGCTTAAAGAAAATTTTGTACCTGCTGAGGTTGTGAAAATTATTGCAGAAGTCACAAAAAGAACAAAAAGAAAAAGAAAGTGTTCAGAAAGATATAGCTTCAAAATGGCGCAGTCGTTGAAAATCGCATTATCTAGTGATGTTCTTGCACTCGTTCTGTGTTCGTGGGCCGCGATGTAGTTAAGGCAGCTGCAAACGAAGTTCAGTTATAAGATTACAATAGTGCACCGAACTCGTCGTGAACATCGCAGACGTGCATCTCGGACCCACTGTAATGTCTCGTTGCACTCGCTGCTTATCAGCACTCGTACCTTGGAACGAAAAGCACAGCGGGACAACTCTTTATACTCGCAATCGAGCGTGACGTACTTTGAAACATCGGGCACTGCGGCCATGCACATTGCAACTGATATTTCTGCTTCGTGACTAGGCCTAACTTCGCTTCAAACTTTGTGGGCAAGACCATCGCGTTAATGGACACACGAAAGCGATGAAGGTGTAGTGTGCTTCATCAAAAGGGACGAATTACATGCCCCGCTGGCTCCTCAAAGTCACGAATGGGCATATTGTGCATCGGCAGCGGACCCCCCAGCCTAGCTCGGTATGCAGCGACCGCTCAGAGCAGCAGCTAGCAATTTCAAGTGTCAGCGCCCCAAAACGTGAGACCAAGCACGCTGTGTGCCAAATTTTTTGTCGTCTTGGTTAGGCATAACTGACGTTTAATTGACTGCAGATAGGCGGCCATCGTCTTTTAATTGGTACGACGATATCCGCAGCACGCAATTTTCGTGTTCCCATTTCAAAAGTACAGTGGACTCTCACTAAATGAAACTCCGTTAAACGGAAAAGCCGCATAAACGAAACTATCGAGGCATATTTGGTTGGTCTCCCATATAATTAACGTTGAAAGATTGGGGTAATCAGAACATTTTTTATAGCTTTTATCGGTTAAATGAAAATAAAACGGTCAAAATCCATGAACGGCGGAAGTGTCCACGGTGGTCTAGCAACCATGAAACCAATGTCAAAGCTAGACTGCACACGTCCGCGCAAGCCGAGAAGCAATCGACGTCTTGTTGTGAACTCGAGGAGACACCCTTGAGGAACCTATGGCTCAAGTTCAAGATGAGGAATTGTGCTCAAGTGGTAATGAGGTGGTGTGTGATCCCAAGCCCATTTTAGTGGTTGACAGTGCAGCAAGAAATACTGTCATCCTGTTTCAGCGCTACTTTGAACACGATGGTGGCACAGTTCCTGCCCAGCCTTTCAGCAACGCACTCCTACTATGTGAGAAAGTGCTTGAACAAAGCCATGCAAATTGTTATCACCTCCTTTTTTCCGAGTTAGCAATATTAGCAACATTTTTCTTTCTAATCAACTCTAGTAGTATTGCGTACTTCAAAATGTTTCTGCTCAGTCAGCCACAATTGGTGCTTTTGAAATAAAGCCATATTTCATTCATTTTGTGGGCTTTGCTTAAATGAAACTTCTCATAAATTGAACAAATTTTCTAGCCCCTTCAATTTCCGTTTAAGAGGAGTCCACTCTATGCCGATCGGAATTTGGGCCATCCAAAAAGTTTGGTGTAAAAAAGTCCTGAGCACCTTGCTGGCCTCAGATTTTAGTCAAATCCTAATGTCCATTGTACCAGAATCCGTAGTAAACCAAGTTCAATTATAGGAAGAAATAGGGTGGTCACCATAACGATGCCAATTGGTATGTTGTATCCGAAAGTCTGTTGTAAGCAGATCTGTTGTAACGAGGTTATATTGTTAATTCCCCTTGACTGACTTTGAATGTGTTTCTAACAGCAGACTAGTCTTACCTGCTGCTGTAACGGTCAGTTCTACGGTCTGATCGTCGCTCTTTCCAGTCGTCATCACTTTCATGCCCCCTCCACTGGTCTCTCCTGTCATAGTAATGATCACCCCTTCGGATTGATTTGCGAACGTCATCCCTGAGCTCCTCCCGCCGGTTTACCCTCCGGTCCTCGTACTGGTCATCTCTCCTGTCACCCCTTCGGTCGCCATGGTAGTCGTCTCTCCTCTTCCAATCCTCAACACCACCACTTCTCCCACCTGCTCTCCTGTACTCATCCCGATCATCTTTTGCACCATCCCGTCGATTCTCTGGCCGATCGTGGTAACGGTCCCTTTTCTTTTCCTGGTCATTCCTGAAATCTGCTCGGCCACCAATCCTCCTGCTGTCCCGTTCAAAATCATCTCTACTTCCCTTGCAATCTGAACTTTCGTCATCACTACCACGTCCCCTGGCTGGCCTAGAGTCTCGAGAATCCCTGTAGTCCTGTCCATGTACAGAATCCCTAGATTCCCTAAAATCCCTGTCATCACGATGGTCCCTAGGACTTCCATCATCGTGCTTTTCTTTCGGTGGTTCCTCTTGCCGCACACGTGACTCACTGGCCTTGTCGCTAGGTTCCTTTGTGTCGCGTTTGGGGTGTGCCAGAACTGCACTAACATTGATGGCTTCATGATGAGGGGAGGGATCAGCTGTCGGCGTAGATGTCGCATTAGGTCTCAAAGCTACCAGGCTTTCCTTCACTTCACCAACACGAGTTGCTGTGACAACAGGCTGCAAAGAAAAATGAATTTATAGATGAAAAAAGCAAAAGGCACTTTTCTGCACAGTCATGCTCAAGACAAATGGGCAAAAAATTAAAAACTTCACATGTGCACCTGATACAGAAGCTTGCCACCACACCTGGAGATGCAGAATACAGAATACATATTTGGGACATGGTAATATTTTAGTAAAAATTAAATAGTCCCTGCTATTCAATTCAATTATGAAGTCTCCATATCCATGGTATGATGTGAAATACTTGTCTAATGTAAACATACAAAAAAAAAACCTTATTTAAACTTGAGAAACAGACGAAGACAATTTGGGGGACTGTTAAAAATTATTCTAGTACATACTGCAGGATAGCCACAGTTGTGCAGGGGCACTACTTCCATATAAAATTTATGAGGCAGATATCTACAGCTTAACGATTTCTCATGGTTATATCTTAAGACTAGGTAAATTGCATTTAGGCAGCAGAAGTACTAAATTGTTCCAATTCATTTTTGTTTTTGCCAGTCATACTACATTTGCATCCCTTTTAAAACTATCAGCAGTGCTATAGCATCAGACTTCTTTCAGTAAATACGACATTGTACATGTCATCTGGCAGCAGTCAGTTTCCTAGTTTCCCGGCCCCGGTGCCCTAGACACGTGAAGACAACAGTCGAGCAAGTAGGTATATAATGTTTACTCTTGCTCTCCTCATTTATGTGAAAGTTGACGGTTCTTTCCACTACTTAGACAGTTGGAACAAGTCTTTATTGTTTATTGAAAACGTATTGTTGGGCAAGCTGGCGTTCGAAACATTGCAATTCTGGCCCACTGGACACAATGAAATTGGGCCGAGGAATTTTATGAATTTGTACCAGTCCAAAAGTCATCAGCCGGGTTGGTATCCCCAAGATTCTACTGCATACATTATACATTCAATATTAAACTGCATGTTTTGTCTGGAAACTGCAGGTCTCTTCAGGGACAAGAATACATTTCTGAAAAAGCTCTCCAAATAATTAGGCACGCCTATATAATCTGCATCCACATACTCACTCGGCAAGAAACTTTACACAAGCATAATAATTATAATAATTGTTAGGGTTTAATGTTCCGAAACTACAACATGATCATGAAGAACGCAGGTTGTGAAAACTGGCAGAAATTTCAACCACCCATGGTTCTTTAATGGGCACACAAATTTAAGTAAACAAGCCTCGAGAATTTTCCCCTCCATCGAAAATGCGGCCCACCATGGTCGACATTATGTTTACATAAGGAGCACATATCGAAATGCTGCTTAAATGCAGCATATGCAAGTACTAACACCTATGAAGTCTAATGTCAGGCTTTCATAAGTCTATTAGTCTATTCACTCGGACTCACTCAGACAGGGTCGTGAATCCGGATCTGAGTGATTCCGGGTGAATAAAACATTGATGAGTTTGAACCCGAGTGAGCCTAATATCAGTACCAGGGATGAGACGGCCAAGACTAAATTGGGAGCCGTTTTCGGAGCAGCGAAACTTCAATTTTGGAGCAGAAGAATCTTGCTTGGGTGCAGTTTACGGCATTTAATGTGTCCCTCTGGGAGCTTGAAAATACAAATCTTTAGCAACGAGGGGGCACCAGTGCATATTTTAATTGGTTTATAATACACATAACACTGAAACAGATTTTGAAGAAAGCTTTTAAACAGAATATCACCAGGTAGGAACTGCACAACCTTTTTACATATCACGTGCCTTATCTGGCCCTCGTAACAAACATGTGAAATAATATTTATTAAGAAAGAAGGTTTCTTTGAAAACTAGGTTCCCCAGAAACATTAAAAAAAAAATTAAAAAATTGTGATTACACAAGAATCTTAATTACGTAACAGTGCTACTTCGCTTAAAGAAAAGCCCGACATGATAACGTCAAGAGCTTTTAACAGACAACAAAAGCGCGCTGCAGCGCCGTTCGCGGCCACCTCGTGCAGAACCACCTTCAAGCACTGGATCCAAGAAGCCTCGCCGCACCGACAATCTCGTAAAGTGCATGCATATGGCACTAAGCAATAAGCGAATAATACTGACAATACCTCTCCATGCCACCAACCACGCATTATTAATAACGACACACGATGACCAGTTTTTAATTATAGGTCATTACCATCGATGTAGAACTCCCGATAATACATCAACTCGCGATTGCCGCGTTGCGACTCGCGTAAAGCGCTCACGCAGCACAGATAAGAAACTCTTGTCAAAGCAAAGGAACCGTCAAGCGCACTTTATTGGATAAGAAGAAAAGAAAGGAAAAGGAAGTCATACTGCCGCCGATCAAAACACCAATTGAGCTAAGGCTAAAAGCATCGCCCAGAGCGGGCACGCATGCAACAACACCTCTTGAAAAGCGCACGTTGAGAGTTTAGACTACAAAATGGAGCAGTGGCAAATCATGAAAACTATGTCATGTGATTGCCGACGCATCATGAATCGCGAATAAAGCGGCGAGGTGCCCATTCATATTGTTACGAAAAAAAAGAGACGCTGTATCGACGAGGCTGTGGATTAGATGTATTCGAAACCAGCGGTAATGGCGTAACCAGTTCACCAGCAATCGAGCGGAGACCACCCTTCGTCTTCCTTGTCAAGCACACACGCGCATCGCCCCCTAGAATCTCAATATGCGTGCATGTAGCATGATTCCCGGCGGCAGAAGCGCCTTCTCGGCGCAACTAAATGTCAACGTCACTAAGAGAGTGGTAGGGCTTCAAGCGCGCAACATGTACAATATCGGTAGCCTGTTGGGCACATGAAGGTGACGGGGCGACACGACCAATTTCATATGTCACAGGACTCGATATGGACCTGCGTAGCGAGTAAGCAGTTTTTCTGACAAGCCAACTTGACGGGTCGGAGACCAAAGCAGGACCAAAGAACCGGGCGGAAAGTGTACGTCGCGGTGTCATTGGTCACAAACGCCGTTGCTTCTCTTGAGAGGTCAGAACGCAAGTACGGGTGATTTCGCGTGCGTGAGCGACCCGAGTGATAGCGTCCATGGCATATTCACTGGTCGGTACCGCAGGGGATGGTATGACGTTGTCTAGAGGCAATGTTGGTTCTCAGCCAAACAGCAGAAAAAATGGAGAGTAACCGGCAGTGTCATGGCGCGAAGAATTATAGGCAAATGTGACGTACGGCAATGCAAGATCCCAATCGGTGTGGTTGGTAGAAACATACTTAGCAAGCATGTCTGTAAGAGTTCGATTTAGACGCTCCGTGAGTCCATTGGTTTGCGGATGGTATGACGCAGTCAGCCTGTGTGTCGTTTGACAGGACTGCAAGATGTCGGCTATGACCTTCCACAAAAAGGTGCGGCCACGGTCTGTAAGCAGCTGCCGTGGGGCTCTGTATTGCAAAATCACGTCCTTGAGGAGGAAGTCGGCGACGTCTGTGGCACAGCTTGTTGGAAGAGCTCGTGTGATGGCATAACGCGTGGTGTAGTTGGTGGCCACAGCTATCCACTTGTTACCCGAAGAAGACAAGAGGAAAGGGCCAAGTAGGTCCAAGCCAGCGCGAAAGAACTGTTCTGACGGAATGTCAAGTGGTTGAAGGCATCCGGCGGGACATGTCGATAGCGTTTTGCGGCACTGACATTTCTCACAAGCCGCAACGTATCTTCTGACCGAGCGTGCAAGCCCTGGCCAGAAGAAGCGTCGGCTTATTCGGTCGTAAGTGCGCGACAAACCAAGGTGACCGGCAGTCGGAAGGTCATGAAGTTCATTTAGAACTTCCGAGCGAAGGTGTTTCGGAATGACAAACAGCAGGGCTGGTCCATCCGGCTCAAAATTTTGGCTGTATAATACACCATCGTGGAGCACGAATGAGCGATGGGACTGATTGGAAGACTGTGATTCGAGGCGCTCAATGATAACACGCAAGGACGCATCACAGCGCTGCTCGTCACCATTGATTGATATGTGGGGTTTAACGTCCCAAAACCACCATATGATTATGAGAGACGCCGTAGTGGAGGGCTCCGGAAATTTTGACCACCTGGGGTTCTTTAACGTGCACCCAAATCTGAGCACACGGGCCTACAACATTTCCGCCTCCATCGCAAATGCAGCCGCCGCAGCCGGGATTCGAACCTGCGACCTGCGGGTCAGCAGCCGAGCACCTCAGCCGCTAGACCACCACGGCGGGGCGCTGCTCGTCACCAATGCATGTCATTTGCGAAAGAGAAAAGACGCAAGGGTCGGTGTCGGTGTCAAGTATAGTGCTCGACTGAGCAACTGGGAAGCAGGACAGACAGTCTGCGTCCTGATGTAGGCGTCTGGGCTTGTAGGTCGCCGTGTAGGTATACTCTTGCAGTCGCAGAGCCCAGCGCCTGAGCCGGCCAGTAGGATCCTTCAGTGACGTAAGCCAACATAGCGCATGATGGTCAGTTATTACAGAGAAATTTGTGCCATATAAATACGGGCGAAACTTTGAGACTGTTCAAACAAGAGCAAGACACTCATGCTCTGTAATGGAATAGTTGCGCTCAGCAACTGTGAGGAGGCGGCTAGCGTAGGCGACAACTCGGTCGTGTCCCCGTTGGCGTTGGGCTAGAACGGCTCCGATCCCGTGACCACTAGCATTGGTTCGGACTTCTGTCAGAGTAGATGGGTCAAAGTGAGCCAATATAGGTAGAGTCGTCAGAAGCATGATTAGATGAGAAAAAAGCAGCAGCTTGGTTGGTACCCCACGTAAACACGAGGTCTTTCTTCAGAAGCTCCGCGAGAGGTCGAGCGATGGTTGCGAAAGCTTTCACAAACCTTCTAAAGTAGGAACAAAGTCCTACAAAACTCCGGACGTCTTTGACTGACCGGGGTACAGGAAAACTGGTGACTGCACGAATTTTCTCCGGGTCCGGCTGCACACCAGATGCGTCGACAAGGTGGCCAAACACGGTAATTTGCTGGCGTCCGAAGTGGCACTTCCACGAGTTTAATTGAAGGCCTGCAGTGCGGAATATGTCAGGAATAGCTGACAAACGCTGAAGGTGGGTCTCAAATGTTGGGGAATATACAATGACATCGTCAAGATAACAAAAGACATGTTGACCATTTTAACCCTTGTAGCAGAGAGTCCATCATGCGCTCGAACGTGGCTGGGGCGTTGCATAGCCCAAACGGCATAACTTTGAACTGATATAGGCCGTCTAGAATTACAAACGCAGTCCTCTCTCGGTCTTTTTCTTCGACAGCAATCTGCCAGTAGCCGCAACGTAGGTCTACTGAAAAAAAGTATCGGGCGCCGTGGAGACAATCGAGAGCGTCATCGATGCGGGGTAAAAAGTAAACATCCTTTTCCGTGATTCTGTTCAGATGGCGGTAATCCACGCTGATGCGCCACGTGCCATTTTTCTTTTTAACGAGCACAACGGAAGACGCCCAAGGGCTCGAAGAAGGTTCAATAATTCCTTTGGCTAGCATCTCGGTGACTTCTTGTTGAATTACTTTACGCTCGGTGGCAGACATCCGGTATGGTCGCCGATAAATGGGATGAGAATCACCAGTGTTAATGCGGTGCTTTACGAGTGAAGTCTGGCCGAGTGAACGGCTGTCTATGTCGAATATGTCACGGTGCGAGAAGTATTGGGATCGACACCCCGCACCTCCACCAAATATGTTACGGAAACGAAGAGACGCCATATCGACGAGGCTGTGGATTAGATGTATTTGAAACCAGCGGTAATGGCGTGACCAGTTCACCAGCGATCGAGGGGAGACCACCCTTCGTCTTCCTCATCAGGCACACACGTGCATTGCCCCCTAGAATCTCAATATGCATGCATGTAGCAATATCTTTAAAATGATTTGAACGCACGTTTTGTCCCTTCGCAAATAACCAAGGGTTTCTCTCTACCTGCAGACACCGATGCGTGGAGTTCACGTGCTATGGCTTTTTAAAATGCAAAATGCAATGAGAACTCACTTGTCTAAATAAGTAGCTAATGAGCATAAAACGAGAATGGGCTACACACGTTCTGTCGCTCATGAAACCCATTTTGAGAACCCATGTGCACGCGCCAGGGCATCCACAAGACGTGTCTCATGCAGGGAAATGACGCCACGTTTACAGTTATTCGCTCACGGAAAACGCACACGCGTCGGTGACCTTGCACAGCAGCATTACATGAAAACCGCAGTTACCGCAGGAATGCGCTACGCACATTAAAGGACCTGAGAGTCAACCCCATTATGCTCGCTACTCGACTGTGTGGTTTTCACAAGGCGACAGGCTCCAGAACACACAGCTTGGCTAGTAGTAGCATGCCCGATGCCCGGCAGCACATTCTTGCGGGGTCACATATATTTACAACAGTTTAGAGGAGATTATGACGGCACCATGAGAGCCTTTGTCACCACAAAAGTGCATGCAAAGTTCTAATTAGTGAACTCGGCCTTTTTTCCCACTGAAGCTGAAGTTGGCATCGAACTTCTAAATGTCGAGGCTGTTTTAGAGCAGTTCGACACAGTTTTCGCGATTTTCATGCTTTTGGAGCAGCTTGGTGCAAGAAAACGGAAATGTATCAAAAATGCGCAATATGCACAGCTGTCTCACCCCCGCAGTACGTGTCATACCCCTATGCATCCACTTGTCAGAAGCGATGGCAGCATGAAGGAAAAACGACAGAAGAAAAAAAAAAGGACAGAATAGAGGGCAGGAGACCACAAGTGCAAAAATTCCTTCTGCACATGTAGGCCAACTCATACAGGAAGAAGTTGCAATTCTTGCCATCGTCATTCATTCTTTGCCAAATCAGCTTTGTCTTGCTACACTGCAGCATTAACATTTCCCACTTAATCTAATGACCTTGATGATTCCTTTTTATCATAGACTGTAAACAGTGCAGTCCATAACATTGCATAAAATTAAGGGTAATTGAACCCACCACAGTGGTCTAGTAGCTGAAGCACTCGGCTGCTGACCCACAGGTCGCGGGATCAAATTCCGGCCGCGGGGGCTACATTTTTGATGGAGGCAAAAATGCTTGAAGAACGTGTGCTTAGATTTAGGTGCACATTAAAAACCTCAAGTTGTCAGAATTTTCAGACTTTTCCACTATGGTGTCTCTTCCAATCATATCGTGGTTTTGGGACGTTAAACCCCAAGATTTATTACTATAAATTAGAGTAATTGCATTAAGCACAGCATTTGATAAAAATAAGCACAACTGTATACATGAAACACTGCATATTTAGCATTTAAGCTGCTTTGCTAAAACATCGCATAGATTCTAAGACAATATTTTGAAAATAACTGCACTCCTCAAGTCATGCTTCATACCATGCAATGACTGGCTCGAGAAATTCGCTGACATTTTTCCCATGATTACTCATTTCTGGGGTTTGAGCATATAATTGTGCTATAGAATGAATGAAAGCTGTAAACTAACATGATGAGACATGATGCTTACTCAGTATATACACGCCAGGTAATAAACGCCCAGTAAAATCTTACAGGATATTATTTAATACTCAGTGATCTAACAGAGCTTCGCAAAATATAATGTTGCAAGCAAAAAAAAACTGAACTAGGAGTTGAAATTTTTTCACTTTTATTCGAAACTTACAAACACATCTGAAGTTCAGTTAAAACTAGCCCAGAAAAAAATGCATCCATCATCACATTGTGACATAAAAGCCCCCCAGCAAGCCTTATTTTGCCAAGCATTTTGCTAGACATCACACACACATAGTCTTGCTACAAGAGGTGAAAAACAAGTTTCTACCAACATACCAGCGGATTCTCTCCGTCAGTGCTTCCTGAAGGTTCGGTCCTCTCCGGCAGCGATGAGTCAACTAGCAAGGGGCTCGGCGCAAGCGTTGCTGCGACCTTCAAGCATCATATTACAAAGCAAAATTATCACTTTTCGATGAACACAGGGCAATAAGATGCATTTCATTGAACAATCCCCGTCATATGCGTTTACCCCAAATCATTAGACAGTGTACCCTCACTACCTTACACTGTTTCGAATCATGCTTTACAACATATTTTTATACATACCAAATATGTGAACTGCATTTAATTAAAGGGATACTGAATGAAAATTGAAAAGTCCAATAAAAACATCAAAATTACACTCAAAAGATGCCTCTGTTTCGGGTTTATTTTCCCGTATTTTTGAACAGTTGTCTGCAATATCTGTGCATTGTCAGCGCACGGTAGCTGCGTGCAAGCGCAGGCCTTGATGTCACATTCTCTGAGGTGCACGCAGGGTGCACGTTGCTGTGACTTTCAGTGGTTGATGCCCTGTCCCTGAGAAGCATACCCGGGATACGTTCCCATGACACCCCGTGCCTTTCTCTGAAATGAGCGACCACCGAAGGGAAGCACCACAAAGGGATAAGAAGGTGGCAAGCTTCTACGGAAAGCGAGCCAACGCCCATGCTGTCGCTTCCTCCACAATGGCTTGTTTAGGCAGGCTGCGTGGCGGACCGACCTTGTAGCTCTTGACAAAAGCGATGTGTGTTATTGACAGGTGCCATGGTGGGTGGTGTCGTGTGTGTGATTGGTTCTTCAATCAAAAAGGAGGAGCCTGATTAAGGACCTAAAATGATGATCCGATAGGCAAGAAGTCGCTCTGGACCATGGTTTAAAAGTTCATCCACCATGCTTTTGACTCGCCGAATTCTGACCTTTTTATGTTGTAAGTAGTTCTACAAAGTGTCCATAAATTTGTCTGTTTTCATTTTCCCAGCTTGCCAGCAACGTTCCCTCTACCTGAAGACTCTCCACGCAACTAAGCGGAGTCCGGGTCCAACACAACCCTGACGCCTCGGCAACTCGCGTCAGCAGGAACGTGCCGGGAACCCTTGCCGCACAACAACGTATTCCTGTCCTTCTCTTTTCATCTCTCTCTCTCCCCCTTCTACAAAAGCGCTGATGTTTTACCCCAGCCAGAAGCAGTGCTCACTGCCATGGTGTTTCCAGAAACTATGTCAAGTGCCGAGACGGCTGAGATATGCAGGCGCCGGCTGCCACTGTTGGGATGCCTTTTTCCTGTGCGTTGAAAAGTCACCAAATGTCAACTCTTCTAGCTCACTGCGCAGCCGCTAAATGCAGCAGTTTATGAAAATGTCATTAAAATCATTATTTGCCTCCAGCTTCTGCCAAAAATTAAAATTATGTCTATTGATTTCAACACCCAATCTTTTCAATTTGGCTGAAAATCCAGGTGACGAAAATTTTGTTCAGGATTCCTTTAACCTAAATTCTACATGGCAACAGTGCATAATTTCTCTTCCCACTCCAAGAAATGCACACACTACCAATAAGACTCCCACTTCATGGAATGCACACACTACCAATGTGACTCAGGTGTGAAAAGTGCTAAAAGATTTGAAATAGCCGTCATGTTATAGGTTCACCCTTCCCCTATTAATTAACTGACCAATCAGCAGCATGTTTTTTACTTCCTTGTGAGATTAATTGTTGCATCTACACTCAATATTCTTACGTATACTTCATAAAGTTCCCATTACAGCCTATAACCTCAGAAACCTCTTCATATCAATGGACTGTAACATGTCTTCATATGTCAATGAACCTCATTCTAATTCTGAAAACGAAACAAATATAAACGAAGCAACACTCACCCTCAGTGGAGGTGGAGCTATGGTGCTTCGCCCTGCTCCCTCTTCCCTCCCCAGGGGGCTCTGTCGCATGAGCGGAGGTGCCACCATCCTTGGTACTGTAGCTTGAGAGTGGCCATCCAGAGGCGTCACTTCCTCAGTGGGAGCTGGGGCACTGGTCAAAGGAATGGATGACTGCACCACCACTTCATTAGATTCCACCCTAAAAAGACAAATAATAATGTTAATAGCTTAGAATTAACATGATAATGCACAAGACTGATGCTACACAAACAACCACCTTTTTATCTAAATCAACAAACATCCACTTCAGTCATGCAAGTCACATGCAAATTCGTGAGGATGTTCTTTATTCGCGAATATTTACTATACTGCTGACCTCAGCATGATGTGCCATTTTGACAGTACACAAAGGCATCTACAATTTCGGTACAGTGAAATGAAAACAGCGGGCATTACGAAACAGAAACTGCATGATTTATTTTACACGGTGACAAAGGGAAACGACATGGACAAGAGTGCTAGAAAATCGCACTGTTTCCATTTCAGAATCAGACTTTGGATTTATCAAAGCAATCGAGAAGGTGTACCAACATGCGTCTTTTTCTTCACTTTTCATTTTCTCTACCTTTCACCCAACCACCCAGTATCCAATCTTATTTCATCACCCGGATAGAAACAGCACAAATGGGAGGTAGTACCTATACCTTTGTGACGATTACACTCTGGCAGCTTACCCAGAGGGGGAGCCTCCACGTGAAGCTGGCCGGTCATGTGGAATGGGAGGCGCTGCTGGCGCCAGGGTCACTACAGCTTGCATGTCAGGAGCATCGAGTAGCGTCAAGCCCGTGCCTACAGCACCTGTTGGTGATGATGCGACACCTTGCCTGTGGTGGAGGTGACGCAGAGAGGCATGTCGCGCAACCTCATCTGGTGGCAGCAGCTCCAAGTTGTCGGGAGGAAGGTGCAACTGGGCGGCATTCTGCTGCAACAGAGCTGACACACGGTAGGGCAATGTCAGGGCGTGCACAAAAAGAAAGGAAACTATGCTGAGTGCAGTGGTGGTGCACTTATGTTTGCCCCAATGAATTGGCTCGGAGAGTCAGATCAGACACAAATTCACCACACTTTGGGAAAGAAGCTTCAGTTGCAATTTTTAACACAGCCTCTCTAATTTACTTGTAAGACATACGCACTAGTTCCTTCAAGACATACGCACTAGTTCAACAACTTCCTTGACGGGCACTTCCTTGACCCACTGGTGCACTGTACCGACCCACAGGTAAACTGTGCCGCGGTTAACAAGCTTGTGAAAGTTTGTTCATGTTGTTCTTTTGATAACACAGTCAAACAGACAAGCAAATGAGGCAGAGTTTAACAAAAAGATGATCCATTGAACAGCAGTGTCTAAAAAAAAAATGTCTTGTCAGGACAAAAACATCAGGACCATGGCGAGGACATACCTACAAGTCAGAATGTTTGTGCTCGTAGACTCTTGCATATTCTACTTGTCAACCTCAACATTCGCACAAATATAGAGTACAAAGCGGCGAAAAACAAAAGGGAGAAGAAAAAAATAACGCATTTTTTAAGCTGGTCTTAAATCCCACAATTTTTGAAAGATTTACTTGAACCATATTAATCGTTTGGTAGTGACAATTAACAAAGTAAGCAAGTAACAGAAAATACAGAACAGCAGAATGACAAGAAATGAATTGCTTTTAAATCAAAACGACTTTCTTTTTAGGCGGTGTTGCTGCTTGCTTCAGGCAGCAATGCAAAGCTCACAGACACTTGTTCAGTGAGTGTTGCTCATGACTTGAAAGGATACGCATTACAACGCGGTCCCGAATTCAGTACCAAGCACCTTGCACAGCTGGCAACCACAGCCAAAGTTCAAATCGAAGTGCTTGCTCCATATCGCATTCTAAACAAATATTACCTCACAGCAATGATCTTCATAAACTGCTAAAGAAAGTAGTTACTAGTACACTAAATAATCTGCAATGTTCATAGGCAGGTAAATATTATGTATACATTTGATGTTTGCAAAAGTTATACACATGTGCAATCTATCAAGATTGCGTACAAACCCCGTGGGAAGTTTACAGCTTGAAAACTGTATATTGACTAATGCGACTACATATTCCAGTCTTATATAAACTAGGACAACATGTGATCTTATACATCATCACAACCTATCTGACTATATCTGTGAACGCTGGCAGGAAATGCACAGAATATACAGTACTTGCGAATTAAAATGCGACCTCAAATTTTCAGTATAACTACTGGTAACACAATTGCTCAAGACAACCACTTCATGTTGCCCCGAATCTGGTCCCTAAAGATAATGTTGCCTTTCATTTATGCTTTCAAGTCGAAATTTCGCCGATATGACATAAACTGAAGATGGTGGAAGCAAAAACGTGCGTTACTTAGCCTTAAATTGACCTGTTTCGAGTATTGTACATGTAACTATGTAACTAAAAACAAGTACATGAACAATAGTTTATAGAAATCTGCCAAAAATCTACCATATGAAACGTCTGCAAAATCATAGCATACAAATGAGTGAACTGCTACATGTGTGTTTAGAGCAGCCACAAACTCCTGCACTATGGGTTATGCATATATTATTTAGAAAAGGATCAAACAGTATCCTTAACAAAAGCAAAAGAAATAAGACTGTGCAACGAGAACTGATTACGAAAAGGCGAGCAAAGATAAAAAAAATAGCAGAGTCCGGAAAATTTCCAAACTACTGCCCTGGAACCAAGAATGATGGAGCAAATGAAAAAACTGAAAACTTACAGTAGTTATGTTTGGTGGAGTCGTTGTACCAGAATGATGAGGGGAATAAGAGATTGTATCCACATTTATGCTTTTTGAAACAGTCACTGCCTTCAAGGTCAGACTTCAGGAAATTGTGCAATGACTGTCCTGCAGAGCACTAACACTTACTAAGAACTCAACCCCTGCTACATGTGGCGCCGTATGCAAGCTCTCCAAATCTACAATGGATTCGACAGAAACAATAAAATCTAAGCTTAGGAATTTACTTTTTTTTTTACCCACCTTATGCAATGTGAATATTTCTTAACCGGTGGACTTGATTGAGTCACAAAGTTCTTTAGAAGCCCGAAAGCTAAAGTTGTTAAAAAAAATCATCCTCAAATTACTTATTACCTACACTGATTTATTAGATAGATCAGATCTTTCTGGTGCAAACTACCTCAGATGTACAGCTATGTGTCATGTGAGATTGTGTGGAAAAACAACAGTAAGACAGAGGCAGGAATGATGATAGCATCGTGTCTAGGACACATGATAACGACGAAAGAATGATAGTTTGCCAATTGTGATGGAACAACAGCAATGGAGATAAGAATGATTTATACGACAATGATGGAACGACGATGAAGCAATAAAAGCAGCATAACAAAAATGGCATGAAGAGAACTGAATGACTGCAGTACAACAAACAATGCTGGTGCAAGTATGACAGCACGACAATAATGACATCTCAACAGGTCGTGATAAAGCGAGCGCACAATGACAGGGGAATGTTTGCACTAGACAAAATGACGAAAAGGAAATTCAGCATAGGCCAGATGCTCAGACAACAAAAATAGGGACAAAAGCCAATGATGAACCAAAAAAATCTATCACTCCAAAGTGAACAAGAAAGGCCAAGCAAAGACCACCGAAATTCACGATCATGGCAAACTGATGTACAGGGTCGTCCACTCTTAGTACGAACACCGCGCCGCGTGGCTGCGCTCCGCGGGGCGCCAGCGCTAGCGGTGCGGCCGCGCATCGAAGCTTATCGGCACAGGCGCACAAGAGCTTGGAGGCGGGGCTTCGTTTCGATTAAAAGCGCGGGAGCGCGCCGCGCCTGTTTTGCCGTGAAGCAAACTTAATGCACCTGAGAAACCACAAAGCGTTGCCGGAAAGCGGGCTTCGCTCAGCGCAACGTGTTTTGTAGTTACGGTATTTGATAAATGAGTGGTCCCTCTTGTTTAAGTACCATAATACCAGTGTAATGTATACATTGTTGCAAACTCTAGAGTGGTGGTTTTGCTTGGTTTGCGGTGTTTCAATCCGCGAAATAATTTCGCCACTGAGCGGTGCTCTGAGAAGTTTCGACTACCGGGAAATATTTAACGTGCCCTGAAACTGCGTGCGCACGGGCACTGTTTCATTTTCTGTCCATGACGAAACACCAGCTGAATATTCATCCCGCGACGTTGGTCTTAAGGTCTCTTGTCTTTTTTCAAAAGTATCAATATCACGTAACATCGGGGCGTTTATATTCTGGCACTTACTTTCCGCGGAGGCCTGCATTGCACCTCTTTTATTCTGCTGTATTGTTATACGAATAGCTTCGTTTGCTCCGTCCATTTAGGTTTTAGTGGGAAACAGGGGCCCCACTCTTTGTCACCACTTTATACGTGTCCACCCTTCTGCTTAAACATGTAATTCACTGCAATATACCTGCGCGAGTAATGACACCGTGATCACCACTTAAATGCCCGACCGTCGGAAAACAGCTTCTTCTTGAGGGTCGCATCTTCCAGATTCTTGTCTTTACTACCCCCTAGCCAAACTCAAGGAACGCAACAATTTATAAGTTTTCAATGTGTGATAAAATCCCAAGGACTGCGTCAGCGCCTTGACGTTCTTCCCCTCCTCCTTCGTACTTTAGTACCCTATACTTCTGATTTAATTTCAGCCTTCCGTGCACTCAGCCGACGAGCCGTACACGCCACACACAGTGCTTGTATGTGTCGTGTCTTTTCTTCGGGGAGTGTCTTATGCGAGTTCGCCCTAAGTTTAACCTCAGCATATTTTTGGACAATAACTTACAATATTCTTGGGGCCACTGCTGAAGTAGCCTGCCGTCTCACCCACGTGCACGTTATCGAAACATAAGTCGCTCAAAGAAACACAAACAGGGAAATGGACGGGACGGCGCTAGCGTCTGTGGTGTCTGGTTCGCTTTTTTTTCACCTTGATCGTCAGTACACGTGTAAATGAACTCGTCCAGAAAGTTCCGCTGGGCCGTCACATTCTGGCCTTCCAAGATCACCCTAAGCGGGCCTGTTGGGGTTCATGTAGTATGGGCATCACACATTCTTATCTCCTGGCGATACGGATACGGGGTTGCACATGATTCTCAAGTTAACTGTGCCGTCTGTCCAATGAAAAGCTGTATACGCTCGAGTCAGAAGACGTTGTTTTACTGAGATTATATTGATTGGCTGGCCTAACATCACGCTATGAGCATTTCAGTTAGGAACTGTGGTCTTTCTATTTTGTTGCTCTTTTATGGCATTCGCTCGGTAAAAAAACGGCTGCGACCTAGGAAGGCTGCATCACTTTTCGGTGAACGTTTGACAAGCAGCTATGTCGCGTCTTCCCGAAAGCGAAAGGAGGGACATTGTGGACCTGAGCCTGCAAGGCCATACGCAAAGGCAGATATCTGCAATGAAAAATCGGCCGCTCTCCACAATTAACCGTATAATCCAGGCGTATAGGAACGAACGAAAGATTACGGATGCTCCACGCAAACCTCGCCCGCAAGTAACAACCGAAAATGAGGACATGGCCATAGTGGCAGCAGCTGTGGACAATCCTAGCGCAACTGTTGATGAAATCAAGCAAAGTACAGGGCTGACGCGTGTTTCTAACACGACCGTGAAACGTCGCCTGTACGCGGCAGGCCTTAAGTCTCGAACGGCAGTTCAGAAGCCCATCGTAAGTGGAGTGAACAAGCAGAAACGCCTCGACTTTGCAACAGAGCACCTGCAATGGACCGAGGAACACTGGGCGAAGGTCGTCTTCACTGATGAATCTTCGTTTACGACAAGGTGGGACCAGCGGCAGCGGGTTTGGCGGCCCCAAAACTGCCGGTAGGTAACACTTACTTAAGTTCCCGTATTCCAGAACGTGTTTTGGTGGCCCGAAACCGTTATGAAACTACTTCAAAGAAG